GGCGGGGCGGGGCCGAGTTTAAAACGCGAGGTCGCTCCGGCCGCGGCGAGGGCGGTGGCGGGTGACAGGATGCCGACGTCACTGTCGCGCGCCAAAAACGGGCCCCCGCGGGGGGGCGCGGGCGGGGCGACGGCCACGTGACGGGACGCCGGCCGGGGGAGGCGGGGCAGCCCGGAGGCCTGGGGCCAGCAGGTGCAGCGGGCGGGAGCGCGGCCGCCCGGGTGCTCTCTGGCGGGAGAGCGAGGGCAGGGCCGCGGGCCGGGAGCCGTCTCTCCGGGTGCGGAAGAGCGGGGCTGCGCAGCTCTGCCCCCTCACTGCGGACTCCCGGCCCTGCCGAGATCTCCTGCAGCGACAGCCCAGGAGCGAGAGGGGACTGCGGGGCATCTTCCCCCGCGGAAGTGGGCCCTCGCTGCCTTTCTTTCACCCAGAGGACTACTTCGCTAGGTGCTGAGCGCGCATAGTGGAATGGGACGCTGGGGTGGCTGACCTCGAATTACCTGCAGTTTCAGACTGTTCAGAGCTGGGAAGGGTGTGACTACCTGCTTCAAACCTACATTTCACGGATCAGGCAACTGAGACCCAGAGAGATTGGTGAAGGGACCTCCCCAAGGTCACACAACTAGGTAGTGGGAGAGCTGGCACCTTGGTGGAGTTTTTGTGGGTCCTGGTCCTGGAGCCTGTGTTCGGGGTGCCTCTCTGCTGACATTTATTTACTTGCCACTATAGACTATAAGCTCCAGGAAGGCCGGGGCCATTTCTCTTGGTAGACTCTTGGACTTGAATACCTTACACTTTGTAAATGCTGAGTAAAGGTGTTCTGTGAATATTTGTGTACTGAATGAATGGTACTAACATAAGGTTGATACTCAGGTTCTATTTGTTAAGTGGTATATAAGATAAGCAGTTAGCTAAAAATAAAACAAGTAAATCACCTAGTGGATAAGTGCATCTATATTGGCAAATACTGTGTATAAATTCAAACAAGTTTGGTCATCATTTTACGTGCAGTAGCAAAGATGTTAAATCTCCGTGTTGTTTGAGCCCTGAGGAAATTGATACACTATGTTACTAATGACGTTGTTATTAAAGAACTATAAAGTTATAAAAACTATGTGCTTTGACACACTTCAGCTCTTGAAGCTGTACTTAAGTAAAAGTTTGAAAGAACAAGAAGTAGAAATATTCATAAAAGTGCTGAGTGAGTCTGTGAAGGGAGCAATCACTTGGCTGTCTGTAGGTAGACCTTAGTAAGGTGGCTGCGTAGCCTAGATATTTTTCTGTGCTAACATATGTACATGTTTAGTAGTTTTTTTACAAAAATATATTAGGTTATATTATAGTTGAGCAACATAAAGGCATACATGCACAAATACTTGTGGAAGATTTTGCATTTATTTTATTCTTAATTCTAGCAATCTAACTTTGGATTATCCAAGAAAATTAATGTTATCATACATAAATAAAATCTATAGGTATGTTCTTTTTCCCCTAAAACAGACTTATCTTCAGGCAAACCCTTTCTAAAAGCTGCTCACACAATGCATGGGTTTGAATTTTATTTTCAGTTTGTCTACTCCTTTTCAGAGGTAAAATATACCAGAAGTTAAGAAGAACATATAAAAGCGAAAAGGCTGTTTTATATCTCACTTTTTTCCCCTCTTCTCACAGTCTTTCATATTGTTTCATAAATTATTAGATGATTTGATTTTAATTTGTCCTTTTATCAATGAAGCAATCAAAATACAGCTCCAAAAATCTATTCATTTAGCTTCCCCATCCTGAGGAAAAGTCTGGACTACACCTTTATTTAAGGCCGTTCCCTACTTTGATCGTGATCAGCATACTCTGGACTAGAGATGAGTCCCAGCGCCCTTTACTTTGTTGTGCTTCTCTAAAGTACTTGTAGTTCTTTATCTCCATGTGCATCATGCTGACTGAGTCTGCTCACTTTTTGGGAAGATGGGAGACAAGTTTGTACTATAGCTGGTGCCAGCTATTTGTGTTCGCTTACTGTCTGTTGCCACTGCCCCCAAGGGAGTTGTTAACATCTGTGTCCTGCACCCCCGGTGCCAGCTTTTGCTTGCTCTCTTGTTTGTTCCTGCCCAACACTGCCTCTCCTGCCTGTGGGGAGAACTTCTATCATCTACCAATTTATTTTGGCCCCTTATCACAAGATTGCTTAGCACTGTCTTCTCCTAGGTTGTAGAATTCAGGGAGGGAAGGGAGCAGGTCTAATTTCCCTCTGCCATAGGATATGCCAAGCCTCCCCACCTTGTACCCTTGCGCCCTCTACTCAGACTGCATTCATGAGGTTCCTTCTCCATGGTGGGACTTGTGTGGTTTGACTTCTCTGCAGAGCCTCAGAAACCATTCATCCTTCAGTTCCTGCCAGCTGCCTATCTTGCTTCCCCTTTCAGTCACTTGAGCACTTCAAACATCTAGACTGCATATAACCTTACAAATAGCTGATTAGTATATAGTAATTTTTTATTACCACCATGTTAAACATATCATCTTAACATAGTAGCCACCATTTATTGCCTGGCAGAGCAAACCACCAGGCTTTGTGTTGAGTGTTTTGTAATTTTATAATTTTATTTATTTATTTATTTCCCCCCCCCAAAGCCCCAGTAGATAGTTGTATGTCATAGCTGCACATCCTTCTAGTTCCTGTATGTGGGACGCGGCCTCAGCATGGCCGGAGAAATGGTGCATCGGTGCGCGCCCGGGATCCGAACCCCGGGCCACCAGCAGTGGAGCTCGGGCACCTAACCGCTAAGCCACGGGGCCCGCCCTGTGTTGAGTGTTTTGAATTCTTTAATTAATTTACCTCATGAAAAAGGAGGAATTAGAGAAAAGAGTTTCCAAGGTTAAGTTTAGTTAACGTCATATGGTATGTGGCAGAACTGACTGGGACCTTCCAGAGCCCTTGCTCTTAATCTCTACATGATATTGCTCCTGTGTATATCATGTGTGAATTGACTTTAGGGGTTTACTATTTTTTTAATGGTAAGCTGATGCAAGTAGACTTATAAAATACACACTATTTATACCTACCTTTATCTCAATTGAGATGCTTTATGAGGGTACACACAATACAATAGATAGATGCAAATTAAGACTTGGAAAGTTGTGCAGACAGGTCAAGGTGGGGGATAGAGTTAGGAAGCAGATACGTGAGCCATAGGAAATTTGGATCTAAATCTGAATTCAAAAAGGGAAATATGATCAATCACATTTTCTCATTTTCTTGTCAAGGTACACATGTCTCCCTCTGAGACCTATATTTCCTTTCTTTGTTGTGTTTGTGCACTTTATTTGAATTTTACTTTGTATGAAAATGTGTTAAGGACTTTTTTTTTTTTTTAGTAATCACATGAATACCAAGTTCGAATATAACTTTTTCTAAAGCCTAGGTAAATGTGTACATTATTTTAAATGGCTTGAGAAATAATCCAAATTTTATTAAGTAACTTTTTAAAATTCGTTATTGACATTGAAAACTCAAAACGTTTATCATGAAATATTTTAGAAAACATTTTCAAAATCACTAATCTAACTTCTGGAGGTACTGAGATTCTATTTTAAAAATTAAATTTACTAAAATGCAAACATTTTTGGCAATTTAATCATTTTGCTTCTTTCTTACTAGAAAGAAACTTATTTTGCAGCAGTTGCCACCTAATAGCAATTAGATGTCTTAGAATTTCTTGTTAGGCTTACTTTTTCTTGTGAATCATCAAGCAGTCTTGACAATATTTGTCTCTTAGGCTACGGGTATATCTAGTTGCTGATAAGTTAACACTCTATTATTGTCAAAATGTACCTAGAAACATGGTTTTCTTGTTGCTAAGGCCAAAAATAAAAGAGTCGTCTTTAAGTAACACTGCTTATTTTTATATGTATGGTTAAAATTTGCTCTTTATTCATTTATATAAGGCATTAGATGATTACTTGCCTTGCCTAATTTTCTTAGTTGAAAGAATGTACTTAGTGAAGCCTTATTTGTATGTGGAGGGATGTTGTATTGTATTGTATTTTGCAGCTCTCCATATCTCATTTAGAAAATGTAAGTGTGTAGTTTGTAGTTGAAACAAAATCTTAGAGTTACTGGAAAGGAGCCAAATGGTTAACATTTATTTTTAATATCTCCCTCCCTATTAAACATGCTTGTTAATTTTTTAAAAATTTTTTACCAGAAACAGAGAAAATAGTAATGGATAATTTTAAAATTTTGATACTAATGAACTAATCAGTTATTTCAAATTGTAATAGAGTCAAGAGTATGTTTTTATGTATTTAAGAAATATTAGGGGGCCGGCCCTGTGGCCTACTGGTTAAGTTCAGTGTGCTCCGCTTCTGTGGCCCGGGTTTCACGGGTTCCGATCCTGGGCGAGGACCTACACCACTCGTCAGCCATTGCTGTGGTGGCAACCTACATACAAAATAGAGGAAGATTGGCACAGATGTTAGATCAGGGCGAATCTTCCTCAAGCAAAAAAAAAAAAAAAATGTTAGGAAAAGGATCCTTTCATGGCAGAGGAGTTGTATCACTAAGGTTTTTAATTAACCTCATTTCATGTTCCATTTCTTTCTTTACAGAATCACCTGCTATTTTTATGGATCCTAGATGCTGTGTTTATTTATTTTGCATTTTAAAAACAAAATTTAAAACTATTCATGATTGGCCATAACCAGCAACAATCCACACAATTGTTGTGGCTCAATAAATGATGGCAATGGATTCTCT